AGAGGGAAAGGGAGAGAGAGAGAGAGGGAGAGAGGGAGAGAGGGAGAGAGGGCGTGTGGGAGTGGGAGTGGGAGTGGGAGGTATTTTTGGTGTCATAAAAATATGTCCTGTTTAAATTGGAACTGATATCCCCTTTCTTTTTCCACTTGCAAGCAAAGGTATTAATGTTTTTCTTTATTTTCTTCTCGTATATTGTAGGTGGATGTTAGTGAAGTGACAGAGATGGTTGCGCAAGACTCAGAAAAAAAGGGACTGTACGAAGATGCCATCAAGCTTTATGACCTGGCCAAGGTGATCTAAGTGAGATTGACTAATACTATTATTTGAAATTTTTTGGTATCTAAAGGTTTGGTAGATGCTATAATTTTATTTTTATTTATATATTTGTTTTCATTTACCAGTGTATTTTAACTAAGTACAAAAGTAGGGCATATAACTAGAATCTGGTTTTAGAGTGAATTGCTAATTGTGTCATGATCAAAACTGGAGATAAAATCCATTAAAAAGATGCTAATAATAATGATACATTCTTTTCAGAACCATGACAAAGTTGTAGCACTTCTCAATCAGCTACTAAGCCAGGTCGTGTACCAGCCGGAAGGAGGGGCTGGCAGCCAGCGTGTGCGTGTACTGGAACTAGCAACAGCTGTGGCCATCCGGTTTAAAACGCATGGTCACAACACACTTCCAAACAATGCAGCAACACTCCATTTGCTTTTGGACTTGGCCACTTTCTTTGATTTTTATCATAAAGAAAGGTTCACAGATGCTTTAGAGGTGTGTTAGGTGGTGATGTGATCTTGGCCACATTTATTTACAATTTGACTTTATTTTTACTTATTTGACTAGTAAAAGAATGTTTAGAAATCAACTCGGGTGGCATAGCTACATGTATACCTCTCACTCACTCATTTTCTCATGTCATTGTGTCATCGTGGTAAGCATGTAAAGGCATGATTCAACTGGTCTTGTGTTGTATGCGCAGGTCTGGCTGTAGTCGTGGCTGATTTTGAATCAGTAAATCGGTTTTCGTGCTTCTTCTTAAAATTAGATATGCGCTATGAAATATGAAAGTATGGTCAACAGAATAAGTCCTTGTACTCTATGTTGCTCAAACAAGAAGTACTATGTGTGATGTTATTCAAGTGAGAACCATGTGCGGTCTATTATGTTGGTGCTTTTTGCAGTTGAAACACTATGTTTGCTTGTAAGGCCAGTTGAACCATGCATTAAGATGCCATGCCTCCATAGATCATTGAAAAATTATGATACATGTCTACCATCATAGGAGTTACATATTCTTGCTATCCTGACTTTTGCCTTCCACATCACACAGGTGCTGAAAAAGTTACGCATTATTGCCCTGAGCCGGGATGAAGTGGAGTCCAGGGTTGCTGGAGTGGCCTCACATGGAAGTGAGGTCCGTAGTGTTCTCCCACATGTACTTCTGGCCTCTATGACTACTACCCACAAACTGTATCAGATGCCATCACAGCAACAGTCCCCACAGATGTCTTTCAATGTGTCTGCAACAGCAGCTTCACCAGCAACAAAGGTAGATAATGAGCTAAGGAAAACAAAATTTTGATAACACTGAATTAGGAATTGAAATTTGGTGTGTGTAATAAGTAATATGTATGAAAATTGAATTAGTCTAAACCAAAATAAGTGAATAATATACTCTGAATGAAAGTTTTGTTGAACTCCTTCAGTGCAGTTGATGTGACTATCATGTCATGAGAGAATTTGGCTTGAAGGCCAGGTGATGTGAACATGCATTCATGGTAAAAATGGTCCCTGGCCAGATGATGCTAACTTTCAGGGTGATTAGACTTATTTATTGTTTAGATAAATGAGTATGGAATGTAATGTCCATAAGTCATGATTGGAATAGAGTTGGCTCTAGAGAGAATGCCATTTTCATGCTCAGCTATGGCACAGGTTGTATTCAGAAAATTGAATAGTGCGAAAAAAATATATGACACAAATAACAAAATATTACATTTTTCCTTGCACAGAGTTATTTACTACATAGAGAGATGATATGTAGTCTATTACCATCTGGATAAAGCAAATCAAAAGACAAAAAGTACATTGGAGAATGGCGAAAAAGCTAAAAACGTTTTTCTGAAATAACTTTGCAAAGGGTAGGCATAGAGTCTTTTCACCGCACGAGTGTTTGTGGGGTCTACTTGCCACACACCTGGCAAAGTGGCCACTTAAGTAAGCCTAATGCCTGTACTTTTGTCTATGTGATTGCCTGAAGAAACCGTACTCCAGGGTTAATATATGTAAGCTAAAATCCTTACATACATTTTTTATGTATCAACCAGTACGAAGTAAAAGTAATTTTGTTGATAACTTACCCAATTTTTCCCCTTTCTTTCTTTCCAGCACCTGCAGGAACAGGCTCGTGCCATTGTCACCTTTGCAGGAATGATTCCCATGAGGCTACACTCGGAGATAATGCACGCTTGGTGCAGCTGGAAGCCCTTATCAACTAATTAGGCTGTGTTTTTATTATAGTCTGTACCCATATATACTTCATGAGGGATCAAAATGTGTCTGGGAGCCTGAATTGAGGAAATGAGAACAAATTACAGTTGCTATTACTTTCCTATTTCTATTATGATGATCCATGAGAGTTAAGTCATTAAGGAGTCAGTTACTAATCGTATTGTGTCACCTGTTTACACTTTTCTTGATTTTTGGAAAAGTTTTCTTTATGCTATTAGCAATTTATGATATATTAATCATAATGGCATATAATAGCATCAATACTAATAGCATCAAGAAAACATTTTTCCAAAAATTATGGAATTGGGAAATCAGATGAGGTATTGTCAATCAGTAGGGCCTACTGATTGACTTCTTGGTGCCTGAGCACTTGTAGAGACATCTGTCAACAAAATTCATAAAAAATACAGTGCATAGTACCTGTGGCCATTGGGTTAATAAGGTAAAAGTATTTTTATGTATTTATACTCATTTCCTATATATTTTTGTTTTGTTTGTTTTTTTCATTTATACAGATATGCCTGTATTAATTTTGTGTCATAGCTTTACAGTGAATTGGCACTAAAAAAACTAATAGTGTATGAAAATGTGCCAATTTTTATTATTGATTTTCTCCATTTGTATGTGTGAAAATAAACACTTGATTGATGATTTGTATTATTTTAGTTGTAAAATATTTCATATTACTTTTTTCATCCCATTGTCCATTTCTGTCACTTATCAGTGGGTGAAGTACCCAAGAAAAAGATAAATTGAAACCTATTTAATATACAAGCACCAAGATTAATGCTGAAACAAGCTGTAAACAAAACAAGATAGGAAGATCAGGAGATAAATATTATGAAGGCTTTTCCTCTTTAATTTTTCATCAAGGTATGTTCACATAGGATGAGTTTGCTTGTTTCGAAGCTTTCCTTGCTGTTGCTAGTGAACATGAAGCCTGAAGTAGATGATAACCAGATGGGAGTAGAGGAGCTACTTATCAGATAAGCTGCAAGAGTTTATAGTTCTTGGTAGCTGAGAGGCTAGGTGGATCCTGGTCAACAAATGCATTTGAAATGGTGACAGTACCCATAAGGTGTATATTTTTTGAGGCTATAAAAAAGTATTTATCTGCAAGACATCTATTTTGTCATAAAGTTTTAAGCCATGGAGTTTTTTTTTCAAACCATAGAATCATGTATGAAGAGAAATTTAGATATTTCTATGAATACAGGAAAGTGTTGAAAGAATATGCAATGAATTACCAAAACCTGATGACAAATCTGATGCTTTGAAATGTAAATTCTGATATAAACTTCAGGCAACAAAGACACCTGAATACTTAAGTAAAAGTTATCTGTCAAATAAAAAC